ATATATATATATATGTATATATATATATTACACCATGATATAAGTAATCCTTATGAAACCATGTGAGTAGTTTTAATGTTTTAAAAGTATGTTTGGATAAGTTTTTTCAAAAGTACTTATAGAAAAAGAAAAAGAAATTTTTTTGAAATAAATTTCTATATAAATTAAAACTAGTTTATGTATAAGATTAAAATAAAATTTTAGAAAAATTACTTGGATAGAATTTTTACACATTTTTTATGCATAAATTAATTTTAATTTGTGATAAGTTAATTTTAACTTATAAAAAAAATAATTATATTTTTTTCTTGTTTTTAACAAGTGTTTTAAAAAAAATTCAAGAAGACTCAAAAATCATGCTAAAACCCCTCAAGTATGTTAATAAATTATTAAAAAAAATATAAGACTAAATTGATATATTTTCAATAAAATATATAGTAGTTGACTTAGGTATATTACTAAAATTTTATGGGTTGTTACCCATATCTCTCTAGTTGACTTGTTTCTTTGACACAAGTTTATTTTTGTTTGAACAAATTTTTAGTCTCTTAAATTTAAGGTAAATTTATTTTAAATTTTTTAATTTAAAATATATTTTTTAGTATCTATAACTTTTTTTAAAAATTATTTTAGTCTTTATATTCAAATTTTGTAAGAGAACATGTTAAATATTTCCGTATAAAATTTACCTACTTGTAATTTTATTAGTAAGAACATCATATTAAACTTATTTAAGCCTTGTTTAATTTATTTTTTTAGAAAAATGGTTTTTTTAATAAAAAAAGCATTTTTTATGTTTGTTAATTTAAAAAAAATATTTTTTAGTCTCTATAATTTTACTTATTTTATTTTTTAGTCTCTATAGTTTCAAATAAATATTTTTAGTTTTTATACTTATTTTTTTCAATCTTTTTTGGTCCACATAGTCTAAGATAAATATTTTTAGTTTTTATACTTACAGTTTTTTAATTATTTCAGTCTAGGTCATTAATTTTTATCCTCAAAAAATTAAAGACCTATATCATATCAATATAAACACAGACAACATTATTAAAAAAAATGATAGAGATTAAAATGATTAAAAAACTGTTAGTTAGGACTAAAAAAAACTATCTTAAATTATAGGATCTAAAAATGATTGAAAAAAAAAGATAAATATAAAGACAAAAAATGTCTATTTTACATTATAGGACCAAAAGATAAAATAAATAAAATTACATAGACTTTTTTTTTACTAGTAAAATTACATAGACTAAAAAAGTATTTTAACTATAAAAAAAATAATTTTCTACTTATATTAAGAAGCAACACCAATTTATTTTTAAAATATAAATCGAATTATTTATTTGAATTTAAATTTGATTCAATTATGATTTAAAATATATGGAACAAGACTACTAAATGATCAAATTAATGTTTTAATGTAATATATCAATATTGATGTTATGTATATGATTAAATTATTGAATAAAAGAAGTGCCAAATTTAAAATAAACATATATTGTATAGTATATTTTAAAATAAATTAATATAATATTATACAAAATATTATTTTATCAAATAAAAAATTTCATTATTAATACACAACTGTTTAAAAAATTATGCTTTTTAAAAAAATATATGACATTAAATTGAGTTGAGATAACCTAAAACAGATCAAGTTCATCCAAGTAATACATGTTTAACTTTAAAATCAAACTCATCCAAATAAATCTCAAATTGGGTTGGGTCAAATATACTATGCACTTTTAGTGTAAAATAATTTTAATCATTTAAATTATCATGTATGAGAAATTATTAAAAAAAATAAATAAATAAAAAAGTTATCATGTAAGAGAAACCACTAAAATTGATATAATAATTAAAGTTACTATAGTATCACAAAATTTTAAGTTTAAATCATGTTATCGTCAATGACATTTTTATAAATAAAAAATATAAATATTTATAATTATCTTAAAAATCATATCATTAATAATTTATAATTGAATTTAATTTTGAATTGTATTATCATCATTGAAAAATTTTATAGATAAAAAAGCTATAAATATTTATAATTATCTTAAAAATCGTATCATTAGTATTTTTATAATTTAATCGATGGTATAGAAGTTTTTAAACTAACAATAATATTAAATCCTTGATTTTAAAGTCTAATCAATATGTTTAATTAAGTGTTTTAAATATTATATATCTTAAGTTTAACTTTACCATTCTATTTTAATTAATTTTCTCTCTTATAAAACTGTATTGTTTTAATTTTTATTTTTTCTTTACATATTTTAATGATTGAAATAAGATATTATCGTCATTGTAAAAATTTATTTATATTTTAAAAAAGTTATATCAAATATTTTTATTAGTTATTTTCTAATATATTTATAATATGTAGAAGTGATTGAAATAAAATTTTATTATGGATGTAATGATATATATATATAGGGTTTGTAGAAGTATATATATATATATATATACTAAAATATTATATTTATATAATATATTTTCAATTAACCATCTAATGTATTTATGTTTATGTATGGAGGTTTATTATTAATATATATTAATTGATATGCACACATTTTTTTTCACAAATATACACACATTTGTCAACTCTAAGGTTGGGAGTTTCCCATTTATGCTGATAAGTATATACTATTAATTTCTATTTATCAATATTAATTTTAATATTACTGTTTTTAAAATATTAATATTATATAATTTAATAATAGTACATCTATGTATAGTTATATCACATTCAACACTTTGTTAATTTCTAAATCGAAAAAATAATTTGATTATAAACGACAAAATAGTTCGGGTCACATAATTAAAACTTGAAGGATAAAAATACAAATAAGTTCTTTATTTAAATTAACAGAGTTATAACGATATTAATATATTATAAGTATTTAATTACAAAATTTTAAAATACAGGGACTATTAAAAATAGTTTTAATTATAAAAATTAATTAAAAAGTTAAAAAGATATAAATACTTGTAGATTAATTTAATCAGCAATATATATGTTAGCATTTTATTTTTCCTTTGAACCGTTGGATGTGAATCGAGCAATGTGTCGCTTTTATGTTAATTATTTTTGGAAGTAGAGCTAGGTGATACGTACAAGCTCAAGCTCTCTATAAGAGTAGTGAAAGCGCAGCACACACCTACGGATATGAGAGAAGAAAATATCATCACTCACAAATACAAGAAGAAACTATGGTGATGATATGGGAAAATGTTACAGTTGAACTCAGAGATGCTAGTTTTGGAGAACACAAGAAGAAGTTGCTCAGTGGAATCACTGGTTTTGCTGAACCTGCTACGATTATGGCTGTCATGGGTCCTTCTGGCTGTGGCAAAACCACCTTCCTTGACTCTTTCACTGGTTTTTCTCTCTTTCCACATATATACACATGCATCTATATATATATATAGCTTTCCAACTTCATGAAAACTCACTCTTGCTTTTCACAAATATTCATGGACTTTTCTATCACCATCTGTTATATATACAATGGATTCTTCATTTAGTTTATGCTCAAAATGTGCATAAATTAAATAGCTGAGAGGGTTAGAACAACATACAGATATATGCATGTGATTCATTTAAATTATCGATCGTGTGATTTTTAAATAATTTTCAATATTAATTATTCATGTATATGTTTATAGTTATTTAATTCAAACTTATTTTTTATGATAAGATTTATACTCAACATACATAAAAGACATATCTAAATCTTACATCCATGTCGCTTAAGATTTATTGGAATCCTTACATGAAACATAATTATCTACTTGATGATTAGTTGAAGCTTAATAAATAGTAATGTTTAGTTTAATTTAAGATTTTATTTGCAAATTAAAACTCAACAAAAGTGTGTTTGAAGAATTTTCATCTTTCACATAAAAAAAAATCTTTTTAAAGTAGATATATCTAACAAAATAAAATTTTATGATCCCATGAATGTTAAACTCGTATCATGAAAATCATAAATCTAGACCACATCCGGTATCATTTGTGTTAAGTGTTAATTTTAAAAAATGTATTTGAATCATATTTTTTTCCTTTAAAGAGGAAGTGGAGCTAAAAATATATATGGTTGAAATAATGCATTATAATTAAACTGCTTTAATAGAAATATTTTCTACTTAATTATATTTTTGCTTCCTTTAATTTAGATTATATGTAATTTCGTGCCATCAGACAATTCTTCTAATGTGCTACAAGTGTTATTGGTGACCGACAATTACGTGTTCACGTGTTTTTTTTTTTTTACAGGAAAACTTTCTCCAAATGTTGCAGTAACAGGAAACATTCTAATCAATGGAAAGAAGCAAAGCTTGTATTCAAGAGAAGTGGTAAGACAATGAGATGATGCTAATATGGTACTAATTAATTGTCCTTTCTATTTGTTTGCTTTAAAATATCCGCATGAGTCATGACATGTGTGGCCATGTGTGCATATATATTTCTTGAATTTTCAGTCGTACGTGGCTCAAGAGGAACTTTTCTTGGGAACTTTGAGTGTGAAAGAGACCCTCACATACTCTGCGAACATGAGGCTTCCTTCTAAAATGACCAAAGAAGAGATAAACAAAGTGGTTGAAGAAACCATTATGGAAATGGGTTTGGAAGAATGTGCACATAATAGGATTGGAAATTGGCATTCTCGTGGTATTAGTAATGGTGAAAAGAAGAGACTTAGCATTGGCCTTGAGATTTTAACACAACCCCATGTCTTACTTCTTGATGAACCTACTAGTGGACTTGATAGTGCCTCTGCTTTCTATGTGGTTCAAGCTCTATGCCACATTGCTCGCAATGGAAAGATTGTTATCTGTTCCATTCACCAACCAAGTAGTGAGATTTTTGATTTGTTTGATGATTTGCTTTTGCTCTCAAGTGGGGAAACTGTTTATTTTGGAGAAGCAAAAATGGCTCTAAAGGTAAACACTTTGACTTTCACTACAAAGTCAAAGTTCATAAAATTTGCTGAAAATTTTTAGTCTCTAATTAAAGTATGGAAAAAGTTTTTTGCCGATGCAGGGTTTCCCTGTCCTACCAGAAGAAATCCTTCAGATCATTTCCTTTTGTGTATTAATTTGGACTTTGACTTGATTGCTGAAACGCTACAGAGAACACAATTAAGTTTGGTATGTTTGATATTGGAGCCATTCTTTTTTCAATTGACAATGCTTTTGAATTTGAATTTTAATGTCCTCATTGACAGGCAACAACATCAAATTCAACAATGGGAATGAGAACATCAGAGATCAGAAGGACACTCATTGAGAGTTACAAAAATTCAAAGCTAATAATCGATGCAAGGAGAAAAATTCAACATCTCAAACCCAATGTAATAATTTGTTAGTCAGTTTTTACCATTCATACCTGAAGTTTCTTTCTTAATGCAAATCCTATCTTCGTTCGTCTTGTATTTATCTGCTTCTGAAAACCAGTTTTCCGATTACAAGACGAGATAAAGCATAGAAACATTATGTTTCTTCCAAAATCCTGAGTTAGACATTCTTTGGATAAAATTTGAAAAACTCATGAATCCATTTTGAGCAACATACCATTTAGAAAAATACTATATTTTCCCTTGTCTTATATTCATTAAACAACTTGTTCTATATCTTTCTGATCTTAGAGATGCAAACGTGTAGGAAGAGCAAGAAATTAGGCCCAACAGAGGTAGCAGCACCACATGGAGGAAGCAATTGTGTGCATTGACCAAGCGTTCTTTCCTAAATATGACTAGAGACATTGGTTACTACTGGCTGAGGATAATATTCTACATTATGGTAGGAGTCACTGTTGGCACCCTCTTTTATCATATTGGCACTGGCAACAACTCAATCTTGGCGAGAGGAAAGTGTGTTTCCTTCATCTATGGCTTCATGATTTGTTTGTCATGTGGGGGATTACCATTTTTCATTGAAGAATTGAAGGTAAAATAATGCTTCCTTTTACTCAAAAAGATACAAAATTCATACTAAAAATTCTGCTTTGTATCTGATACAATACAATACAATAAAAATCAGGTGTTCTATGGTGAAAGGTCGAAAGGGCATTATGGAGAGGCTGTATTTGTAGTATCAAACATGATATCATCATTCCCTTTCCTTGTTCTAATATCTCTCTCCTCCGGAATAATCATCTACTTCATGGTGCAATTTCATCCAGGTTTATCAAATTGTGCATTTTTCTGCATCAACTTATTATGCTGCTTATCTGTTGTTGAGTGCTGCATCATGATTGTAGCCTCATTGGTCCCCAATGTGCTGATGGGCATAGGAATAGGAACTGGTGTCATTGTAAGCAACCCATTTTTCTCAGCTCCTGAACTAATAACATTTATTGAAATTTCATTATAAATTTATTTGATTGTGATTTCAGATTTTCATGATGATGCCCTCCCAAATATTCAGATCATTACCTGAACTTCCAAAGTTCTTTTGGCGCTATCCCATGTCCTACCTCAGTTTTGCTTCTTGGGCAGTGCAGGTACAATGTTAAGTCTTTTGGGAATTAAATCAAAACTAGTATAATTAAGAATACACTAGGACATAACATGACATTGTGCTTTCTATAATACCTTTCATGTTGTTTTCAAGTACAGGGACAATACAAGAATGACATGTTAGGGGTTGAATTTGATCCTTTGCTGCCTGGAGGTCCCAAAGTTAGTGGAGAAACGGTGCTATCAACTGTGTTTGGGGTTCCATTGGATCATGGCAAATGGTGGGACTTAACAGCATTGGTAACCGTATTATTAGTTCACAGATTGGTTCTGTATTTGGTGCTTCGGTTTGTCAAAATATCTAAATCGCCAAAGCTGTGGTTTTATGCCAAGAAAAGTATACACCTTGCAGAAAGATGTTTATCCAATAACAAGCTTTCTATCTCTAACAGGAAACAAGCTCAGCATCCATTATCGTCTCAAGAGGGTCTTATGTCCCCAAACCTTCCAATATAATACTTTCATATGATTATGTAAATCATCTGTCAGAATTGACATGAACAACCCCTAAGCATCTTTGATATAAATCTGTTGATTAGTACATCTCATTAAGCATATAAATGGAATTAGTTCCTTTCCCGATAATGAGTATAATTCGAGGCATGCTTTCATGTATTAAGGAAAAAATGTATTTATAAACTACTAAACTAGTCTGAATGAATTTTAGGCTTATTAAAATAAGTCTTCTAATGTATTGTCCGTACGCCCGTCAACAATGTTTGGGTTAGTAAATTAAAGAAAAAAATATTTATAAACTATCCTTATCATCAATTACTAAACAGACTTTTAGACATACTGAAATCAAATATATTAAATAAAAGGAAAAGTATATTGACTAAAGAATAAAATTTAATTAATTTATGCGAATTAACACTAATTAATAATTAAAATATTATTTAAATAAAATTTTTACTAATTGTAGAGTATTTTTTATATTAGTGTATAAATACTATTTGGATCCTTGAAAGGGTATATTGTTAACACTTTATTTTCTAAAAGTAAGAAAATTAAGTTTTAGTTATTTCATTTAAATTCTCAAATGTATTCACTTGTTGTGATTTTAGTTTCTAAATATACATTAATATTATCTCATGTTTTGTTTTTTGAATTTTGGATTAAAGTAAATAATTTTTTTTATTTTTTTTTAATTTTATACTTTTAGATATCAAAGTGTCAACAACATACACTTTGATTTATACGTTTTCAGTTACAGTAACTTAAATGATATTTTGTTTATTTAATATTAATGCATTTGTCCATATTAATGCTTTGGTGAATTTTATGTTAATTTATTATATCACAGTGCACATTAATAGACTTACAAGTTGGTTAGATTTAATATAATTTAAAGAAATGATAATTGTGGTTCGTCGACCTGATATTTTGATGAAAAATCAAGACTAAATTCTTTTATATATTCACCAGAAGAAGGCGAAATTCTTCCTTTTTCCACAAAATATTATTACTAAGTATTTTGTAAGGTTTACTAATTTTTATTATACACGTTAATTATATCCATTTCATACAAATCTTCTTACTAAGTATCATACAAAAGAAATATAAGAATATTAGAAGGGTTCAGAATTATTATTCTGACAATTATACAGTTACGCAGGAAACCAACTGCAATTAATTAAGTAGGAAATAATGAAAGAAGTTCAATGGTGGTGAATGCTCCTCTTCTACATGTTCAAGTAAACTCTTAACATGCCAAACCAATCTATGACATGTGATACGCACCTGCTTTAATTTAGACAATATCTTTCAACAATTCAACAGTTTGCTATATGATTCAATTACCATCTAATCGAATGCTACCATTTGGTTTCATTCATAAAGGAACATTTACATGCATCTTCATGGGGTTTTAGTTTATTTCAATATATTTAAATTTTAATTATTTTTCTAATAATATCTCATTTTGTGATATTTCTCAGCTAAATAAATAAATGATTTTATAATTATACTTTAATTTTTTTTGTATAGATATTGTCAAAAAAAATATTTTATTATCATATTTTTTATTCTAAAGATATCCACACTTCAATTCATAATCATTAACATGTAAAAACAAATATGTTTTATTTTACAAAGGCAACTAAAAGACAAGTGTCTAAGGCAACCATGTTCCTTTAAAATTATTAAAAAAATTTATGAGTATGGTTCACGTAGTATTTGAAAGTTGATAATTAAGTACTATTTTATATTTACAATGGTTTCCACTAACCAATAGTAGAGTGTTTTCAACTTAAGCATCTTTTGGTATAGAATAATGTTATATGTACAATAAGTAAATGAATAAATAAATATATATATATATATATATATATATATATAATAACTTGTATAATATCACTTTTATGCCTATATTTTTTCATCATTAATAAATATCTTTCTTTATAATAAATAAAATGATAGAGAAGAAAATAAAAAATAATATTATATAAGTGATTTTATAATTGATGTTGTACATATAACATCTTTTGCATTTAGATCCAAATAGTACAATTTTCTCTGTCTAACACCATAGCCAAAAATCTAATGCGTGTGGCAATGTCATGGAATATACAATTAGGTATTAGAAATTTAGCTAACTGATAAACGATTAGAGGAAAAAGAAGGAACAACAACATCATTATCAAAAGTAAATGAATGAGACAAGGATATTGAGCATATTATTATGAGTACTTATACAACAGAATCTTCTCAATATTAGATGGGATGTAGAATTAACAAGATTTTAACCTAAAAAATAAATAATAGAAAAGGAAGTAATGTTTCGTGCATCCAACTCTTATTAAATCTTAATATTGTGACTATAATTAATTATAATAATTAAAATTAATTAATTTTAAAATATTTAATCATTAAAATTAATTAAAATTATAACGATTAGATTATTATATTTGATTAAAATTGATATTAATTAGATTTTAATATCAATAATTAATAAAATAATTATTTTAAATTTAAAATAATTTCATAAATTAATTAATCTTATAAAATATCTCAAAATATACGATAAATGTCTCACATGGAACAAGAGAAACTCCCCATTATAGTAATTGAAATATGTTGTTAAGTTAATAATCTTACAAGGGTTAAGTGATGAAAAAAAATTAAAATTAATTATTTTGGCATTTAATATCGGTTCTTTTTCCTACTTCCTTCACCTCTAGTTCCATAGGAACCATTGGCAGATACCGGTACTCATTATTGGTTGGGTTGAGCTTTACGCATCCTGACTAAAATATTGATTAAAATAATATTTTAGACCTAATTTAGATTGAGTCATAGATCAACTATATAACGAACGAATTACTTAATATTTATAGATATTATATACAAGTTACAAAATTTCAAAAATCAGACATTAATTATATTGTTTCACAACGTATATTTCTAAACAGCTAATGTAATAGTCTATAATTTACAATTATAATAAAGAGGATTCTTAAAATAAAAAATAAAAATAAAAATAAAAATAAAAAAAACTACAATAAAGATGATTGAATTTTTTTTATACACAATTTTTGTTTAGTTTTAAACTTGTAAATTGTAATGATGTAACTGTTTTTTTTATATATATAAATCACAAACTTTTTTATTATTTTCTATAAATTTCATTTTACCTATATCTTTAACTAACACCACTTACGATTACATAATTTTTATTAATTTTATTTATAAAAAAATTCACGAAGACAGTATAGCTTTTTTATGCTAATAATAATAATAATATGGTTAAACAGTTTTATTTCTACAATCTAAGTATTAATTTTGCAAGTTTCTCAATGACTTTTGCTTGAATTTTATTCCTCAATTTTTTTTAACATAATTTCACAAAAGTCCCATGTTTCCGAGATAAATGGATTCTTCCACACAAATATTAAAGTAAGGTTCAAGCTGGCATGGGAGACTTTGCCACGTTGAAAAGTTGTAATCCACTGTTAGATCAGTTACTTATTGAATGGAAGATCAGATATTTTAGCATTTTTACTAATTTAATACTTTATCGAAATAAACAAGCTCAACCTAATTATGTTTTTCCCTTTGCCTGAATGTTCCCACAATTATAAGACTAACCCTCAAGTCATTCTAATTCTAATTAAGTTCAAGTGCTTAGCTGTAATTAATCTGAACTCCTAATAAAACACAAAATTTGCTTGCGATTACAATCCACCCACCATTGTCTGGTAATTAAAATTTAAGAATTTCACTATAGGTAAACCTTCAAAAGTTTACATACTTTGAACGCTTCGGTCACACATTCCCTCATTGCATAATAACTATCATCCTAAGTTAAATAATAATACAAAAATAAAAATAATAATTCTATAAAAATTAAGTTTATTATTAATTTTCTTTACTGAAAATAATGCAATACAATTTTTTCTAAACACTATTATTTTAAGGATATAAATGATAAAATTAAAAAATAAAATAATGATTAATCTTATTTTAAAAATTTAAAATAACACTTGATTTAAGATTTTTTCTCTATATACTTATTATGAATTGGAGATGGTAATATACATGCTTTGAACTCTGCTTTCATGAGCAAAACGTTACACCTTCATTCCATAATAAGTATACTGTTTAAAGAAAAAATAAATCTCAAAACAAATGTCATGTTAATTTTTTAATGTATTAATTGCTTCTCTTTTATTTATACCTCTCATAATATTTATAAATTAATTATTGCATTGCAATGATTCTTGCAAAGAAAATTAATTATAGAATTACTTTTGTAAAATTTTTATCCTCTTTCATTTATTAGCTTTTTTTTTTCTATCCAACACTTTGGGAGGAAAGGTGTACCATGTTTAAGGTTACATTTATATGAGAAATTTTCAAATTCTAGAGAATTTAAAGTTCTTAAGAGTTAAATAAATGATGCACGTGCAAAATCGGCAACGTGTTAGATTCGTCTCAAAAAAACTCGAGAACTGATTCTGGCACATTCACAGGAAGTTCAATCTCTTTCTAAATTAAATCCGTCGCTATTTACAAGTTACAGCAAAATTTGGAACGAAAGATAATACAGATAGCACAAATGGGAAACGTGAGAGATCTAATACACAAGACAGGGATGGGGAAAAAAGAATTCAATCTTTCATTATGATACGGGCTGGATATCCGGGACGTCATCAAGAATGAAAGGTCCAAGCTTACCAGTCCTGAATAGAGTAAGGAACTTTTTGGATACCATTAACCGTGCTTCTGAAGCCTTGTGAGGTATCTTCAATGCCTTCTGTAGTGCACTAAATTGCAGGTCAATAAGGTTTTCTAAGTCACTTTCATCTTCTACGTTCCCATTGAATTCTGTTAGAGTTGAGTAGAGTGCACGTTGAACTTCCATTACAAGATCCTATCATAGAATAAGAATAATTGAAAGTCAAGAAAGACTAAAAATGTGAGAAATGTAGATAAGTTCCATCACCACAAACTGCAAGGTCTCCATTTTAGAAACTTCGTTTAATAAAACCTTTCTTGGTAACTTTAGACGCAAGACAAAGTAGAACTAAAGAACGGAGACAGAAGGTCTATCCAAAAACAAATCAAATAATGTGTGCTTGCAGACAAAATCAAGAACATATTAATCTAGTGTGTCATCTTATTTAACAAAACTGCAGCCGTTTGTAGTAACCACGGTTTTTTTGCTACTTCTATAGGCTTCTAAGTGTTTTTCAAATAGATGGAATGAAACCATATGGATCATCTAAAGCCAAAAGATTCCCAATGAAATGGGTTTAAAACAATTGTCAAAATTTCCAGCATCTTTTTCCATTACGCATAGAAGAATAACTACAGAAAAATGTTCCTTGTTACCTCAACATAGACCAAATCAGATCTGTTTGGCGGATTTCTTCTCTTTGGCTTAAGATTTTTCAGACTATATTCGTGATTTTCCTCAGCTTCATATTCAATCCCGTCTATTCTTCTATTATTTAGGTACTTCCAATGAAGCGGAGTCCCCCGGGTATCCAAAACTGCCAATAAGTATTGAGCAATACGCTCCTCACCCACTACTGAATCTTTCACAGATCCTATCAATGCAACAACCAAGTTTACATGACAAAATATACCAGGACAAAAGCTACAAAAGTACAAATATCATGTTCAGAAACCCAATAGATGGAGATGCCCCACCTAGATCCCTTTAAAGGTAAGTTACATGCCCCATACTCAAAAAGGAGCTCATGAGAAAATGAGATATTCAGTTGCCAAACCAATCTGGGAAAATCAATTAATAATGGTGTAAGATGTAGGATAAAATGCCCACCTCAATAGAGTTTCATTGTCCAAGAGTGACCTTAATTAATGCCTAATTACATTCAGGAATCACGTGTATGAAGTTATAAAATGCTTTTCCTTTGCATAAAGGCAAAGTAATATCCACACTAGAAACCAGCCCTGTTCTTATGTTACCATGAAAATAATTTAGAACCTAAATAGTACTAAATTATAGAAGAAATGAAATTCAGTATTACTTTTATATTAATTTTTTTGTGTAGATAAGGCGGCACCCGTGCAAAAAAGACATCAACTAGAATATATCACCTTCCTCCTATTACTTTTTCCAACAAAAAAAAAAAAGGGAAATAAAGAACAAGAAAAACTGGTTTTCTAATGTGCAAGTAAATTAAACAGAAATAATACAAAAAATAGGACCACAACTACAAGAGTTCAGCAAATATTACAAACAACTTCTATATCCTGGAAGTTTATGTTATGTTCCCTAATGTAGGACCTAGACACAGGACGCAGAAGAATCCTTCTTGCCACCTATATTGCTTTGGGAGAAGCAGACTAGTCCTCGACAGATCCCATTCTAAGACAAACTAAATTTAGAGAACAATTGATTACCTTTGTTGAATACTGACTGTCTTTCTAAAGACTCCTAATAACAAAGGAAAAGAGATAATGATGGATAGAATCTCGACTGCTAATAACAGGCAATGTGTCTGTAAGAAAAACATAGGAACACTAAGAGAACACAAATAATGAATAATATTAGAGAAACTACAAAATATTATGTAAGAATTTCAACATTTTCATTGTTAAAACTTTGGGGTAAAAAAAAGTTGGCTCACCAAGACTTCAGTAAGAAGTCTCATTCATCTGCTATGTATAGAAATAAGAAACACAGATTAAAAGCTCATATCCTTCATAACAACACTTTTATTGCATAACTCTATAAAGTAATCCATTTTCAGACTTTTACAATAACAAATTAGCTTGTAGATACATGGGAAACTGAGAGGAAGAAAAAATCTAAATAAAGCATCTATTCAAATTCACGTACATAATTCACATTCCACAGAAGGATCTAAATAGGCTTTCAATGAATCCACAGGAATCAAACATATGGAGATGAAACAAATGTAATTTGCGTACTTATTTTTAGTTAACAAAGCCATGCATTGACAATACTAAATGTCAAAAAATATTTAGGATATATCATTTTAAAAGATCTAGTACCTGCCAGTGCCAGTTTTAACCCTGTCTCTATGTCTGAGATACTTGGAACCAGAACCCCTGGGGTATCTAGGACATATATGCTTGGTTTATGTGCTATCTGAAACATCAGGTCAAAGTCAGAGTTTAACTATGGGAACCATCAGCTCAAAATAGAAACACGTGACAGACCAAAAATAGTTAAAACAAAATGCAGGATAAGTATAGAATGAGCACTGTTTTCTTTCTACCTTCTCTTTTGCAAATAATTTTTCATTTATATGCCAGACAATAAATATTCAATCAATTACTACAACTTTTCCTGATTATGAATGGACTAGAATATAATCTCTGAAGCACATCCTAATGAAACAAAATAAAAACTGTTTCCAAGGCAGTTAGCAGGTTTGCAATACTTTTCAGAAAGGGTAAGCAGAATGAGGCACAATTCACTTTCAAATATGTAGTACATGCGAGTATACTAAGAAGGTATGATTTTTCGAAGTATAAAATTCAGTTCACTGAAAAGACACGTATAAAGACAAAAACAGATGCAAGACATGTTGAAATCAGGTGTCTAGTACACCTAGCAACAAGGAGATAACAAACCATCACAAACTCTATAAGCCTGAGACGTGAATAAAATTTAATTTTAAATGACCAAGTAAAATAACAAAATTTAAGATAGACATTTCCCGAAGAAAAAAGCCCATGAGGCCATGCACAAACCCAAACCTCTTACTAGTTTGTTTGTAAGACTAAGGTAAAATCACAAGCTAACTTATAAAGACTTAAAAAGTTCCACCAAACACACGCAATGTGGGACTTAACATTTGAAATAGCCAACATGGCTTCACAACACAAGACTTATTTCATATGAAGTTAATACTAATGTTCGTTAGCTAGCAACGTGCTACACTTATAAAGCTCAAGCCAATCGCATACAATTTTGATTATTTAGGCATGGGTACAAAGAAATAAAAAGCCGAGACAAACAAAAGCACTAGACCTTGAATCCTGCAATGTCTTGCGTAACACCAGGTAACGGGCCCACAGTAGCACGCTTCTTCTTCTCCTGCACTATCAAGCACCACCACATCAATTCAACAACAACCAAAAAAAGGCTAGCAATTCATTAAAATGGCGAATTCACGAAAGTCTTACCAGGAAACCTAGACTGCGCAATTTGATGAATGGAGTTAATCAACGCAGACTTGCCAACGTTGGGAACACCAACCACCATGACAAGCAAAGTAGGTTCCCTGCTAATGACTTCCTTCAGCTTGAACTCCACCAGCTCCAGAAGCTTCTTCACGGAACTCTTGCTGTGCGCGTTTATCGGAATACAATCTTGCTTGCACGTCTCGAAATAATGCGTCCATTTCTGCAACAACAACATGCGGAATGAATACACGAATAGATAAACGACGATAAAGGTGGTGATGATGATAGGCAGCGATTGTACATGCATGATGTTAGGGTTGGCAAGGTCTTTCTTGTTGAGCGCGACGACGCGTCGTTTGGCGGAGAGATGCGGCTGGAGATCGGGGTTGGCGGAGGAGAGGGGAATGCGAGCGTCGCGGACTTCGATGACGAGGTCGGAGAGCTTGAGGCGGTGGCGGATGGCGCGTGCGGCGGCGGCCATGTGGCCGGGGAACCAGTTGATGGCTCCTCCGCCGGCGTTGAACGCCATGTCTCCCAGACCTAACCCTTTCTTCACCAATCCCTTCAACCCTCTCATTTCTAAATTTTCTTTCAACGCTACGTGTCCGCTACTTCACTTCAACTTCAACAATTTTACTTGTCCAAGCCCAATACTGTTTTTTTTTTTTTTAAGCATCATGGATACATGCAAATAACATGGCCCACTGGTTGCTTTATGAAACATCGGTGTTGGGCCTTTAAAAACTCAAAAATATATATACAGATGTATTACTTTTATTCAGACAGATATATTAGCCTTTAATTCATGTATTGTTACTGCTGTTAGAATTTAAATGGTTGCGAATAAATTTTAGTACCGTTAAAAGATATATTACTGTTAATTTTTATAAATAAATAAAAAATAGGAGGCTACTTCAATTTTTTTAAACAACTCATTTTTTACATTCTTAATTCACTAAATTCCTAATTTCGTTGATTTGTTTTTATTCAATAGGTTCAAACCAAAATTCACTCGATATAAATATATGGTTTAATTTGACGTCAAATTATTAATAATCTATAGGTTCATAATTTTTTTACTTTAAATAAATTATAAATAACATAATTATAAATTAATAAACAAGTTATCAATAAAATATAATAATTTAAAATTTTTAGTGGGACTCATTAGAAACAATTTTGAAAAGTTATTACTATTATATAGATTTTGTGTTTAAAGCTATTTGTTAGAAAAAGTAAAAAAAACAAAAATAAATTATATATATATATATAAGTATGTTCCATTAGAAGCAATAAAATAAATTGTTACCATTGTAGATGTTTTTAGAGATTATGTACGTTGGATACTTAAAAAACATTATTCTTAAGCAAGAAACCAACTTTGATGGATTAATACATGTTGTGATCATTTAATAATTTTGTAGTTTCTTTATTGATTATGTAAAGTCTCTTGCATAATATAATCAATTATTAAAATAAAATTCCCTTTTCTCATCCAAATAAATAAATAAATAAAACTTATAATATTGAGGGTACAAGTTGATCTTCTTTAGATGCACCGTACACACATTGTAAGAGTAAGTTGACCTGCAATTTGGGAACCAAATTCAATGCGAATCTTATTGACATTGTGCCCATTATGGCAAATGATTTTAAGGTCATGCAACATTCCATATTATAGTTATAGGGGTATCCTAAAATAAAGTCTCCATGATGGTTACGAAGGACACCCCCACACAAAACATAAGTGTGAGCATCTTTTTTTTTGTTTTGGACAAGCCAATGGATAACACGATTACTCTCATCACCATCAACTTGTGTTTTCCAGCTTGCAACTCTCTCACAAGATGTTCAATCAACTCAAGGAGTAATATATTTTTCCATGCTATGAATAGACCACCCATCCACCAAGTAATTGCATGTTCCTGAAAACAAAATTGTTGGATACCTATCATCTAATTATTCGTAAAAATAAGGTTTAATTCCTTGTTTTTATATATATTTTTTTATAAATATGTCCATAAATTATATAAAAAATGTAAGTCTTTAATCTTTTTAAATTTTTGTAATCAGATTCATGAAGCTAATGGTCTGTTTATAAACATTAACTTATGTTTAATGACGTCCTAATTAAAAAAAATAGGGGAAAAAATAGAAACCTTGTTAAAAAAAATTTATAAATGATTTTATATGAACATTTTTGTGTTAAAATGTTTTTATTTGAAAGGAAGGGAATAATATTTTTTAAAAATAATTATATATAAAAAAAATTTATAACCCTCCCTTTAAGTAATCAAAAATAGATTGACTCATGGTTTGGTGAATTGGATTGGACCAAACCAAGTTAAACTAAACTCTTTATTTTAAAACCTTAAAAAATGTGATCTTGGATTATGGAAAAAGTTGACCCAAAGTTATCAAACTTGTTTTATTTGATACTTTTTTATATAAAAATATAAATTTATACAAAATATAAATTAAAATGAGTTAATTTATCAAGTTGAACAAGGTACAATAATCGTAATTTGTATGAAAATCAGCTTTATTTACTTTTCAAATTTTTATTTGTCAAAGTTAGTTAGTGACTTATTAACTACTAAAAACACAAATTCATTCTTAAATGTCCATTAATCTTATATAATTTGCTATATATACAAAGTAAAATATCATCAAATTTTAAGTGTGTGATTCATCTTATCCTTTGAGGTGTCTCCCTTGTAGCGAGGAAATTAGTCACTGTTATGGCGGAGATAAAGTATAATTAAAAAATTTCATGTCTAAAAACACTCAAAATATTTAAATTTATGCGACAAAATTTAATGTTTTATCAAAATATTTATGCTTTATATATCTTTGTTAATTTAAAAGTTCCACTAAAAAACCATTGTTCAAATAATTATAATATAAGTTTTTATAAATTAAAAATAAATATGTATTCTAAACTTTTTCAAATTTCATTGGCCATATTTAAATGAGTTAGAAATTCTGAATTGTATTAACAATTAAAATTAAAATTTCCAAAACATTAGACTGCAAATTATTTTTTTCTTCAAATTTTAGTTTATTGAATGTCAAGCGTATTCATTATACTTTTATAATAAAACCTGATTGCGTCTAAATATGAATGCATTTTAATTTGTATAATTTCTAATCAATTATCTTCCTATATAATTTTACTATGATTTTGCCATTTAAATAAGAGTTACGTGACAACACCGCAAGATTATTATTATTTTTTTAAATGTGTCTCTTTAAAAAAATATTTTTAATTAATAAAACTACATAATTATTATAGTAATTAATGTAAATTATCACGAATATATACTTTGATTAAAACAATCGAATAAATCTTATATGAGTTTTAATTTTATATAATATAGTAATCAACTCATTAAATTTTATAGATTTTGTTATTGCCAAGTGATCAAAATAATCAGTAAAAAAATATCAATTTTAACGATCGACCAGTTTCTCAGTGGATTCAAATTGAATACCAGCATATCCATAGTAAAGCATACCCTAAAACACGAACATCATTTTTGGGGCTTATAACTATCAAACCTACCACAACTACGCAATTACAACTAAATAAGAAAAATATTACCTATAATAATGTTTTGAAGTAATCATGCATCTAACTGAACATGATATTTAGTTCAATGGATATTGCAAGACATTCAAGGATGACAATGAGTCTTTCAAGATCCAACCCTATTTTAAAAGTTAACCAAACTTTTCCTCTATACGCAAATGGCTATTATTAACCAATCTTGTCATGCTATTGATCCGCTATCTTTTATTCATTCGTCTTTATTTTTAAAATATGCATCAGAGTTTAATTTATGTATATAAAAAAAAATGAGTTCATTTTTTATGCAAATAATTTTAAATTATCAACTAGTTAAAATTTATGACATAATTAGTATAAAAATTTAACAAATCACAGCGTAAATAAATATAGAGACAATTTATGCTATATATTCGGTGTTAGAAGTTTTTGTTTAAAATCAAGATGCAAGTATTCAATATGATATATATAAGAATATTCATTTACAAACAAGCTATATTAAATGGTGGAGTAATTTGCGTGCGAGGTAAGGGAGAAAACTCAGAAAAAGCTTTTCTATCCCAAACTAATTTGTCGAGGCAAATGCTGAAATGCACACAAGAGTGGAAAGGAATATTCAAATTTCAGTATATTTTATGATGAGTTAAACTTATTTATTACGGTATGATGATTGTGCATAGACAGTGTTTAACAATGATATATATACAGTAGCTCGTAAATTAAAAAAAAAAAACATATTAATCGTTATTTAGAGTTAAAAATATGAGAAAATAGTTTGTATGGTAAAGATCTTTTACAATTTTTTTTAATCATGTAATTGTTATGAAGTAATGTTATTGGTATAAAGTATATCAACCGACTTGTAAATAATTAATTCTTGTTGAAAACTTAACTAATCATTTTTAGTTTTTAGTGTGAAATCTCTCTTTCAACCATGTTTTTTCATATATAATATTTAAACGTAATATATTGCTTAAGGAGACTAGGTCTAACACTACTTGATTAATAACTTGTTTGTAAAAAAATTTTACACCTGTCACTCAACTAGAAATTGTCATATATAATAAGTTTGTTTATGTTTACAATAATTATCTTAAAAAACACATTAATTAATTGTGATCATTTTTCTGAGTCACTATATTATTGATATGAAATATATTAAACTTATCGATGATTAGTTTTTGTTAAATAACTTACTTGACCACCTTTAAAGATGTCTTTATTTTTAATCATTTTTAATCCACAAGGCTTAACTTGGAATCTTATCTAGGAAATTTGAGTCTATTTTCACTTAATATTTTCCGTTTGATTACAAGATATATTTTTCATACTATTTTTTAACTGTTTATAATATATATTATCTAACAATAATACACTTTATATATCAAAATTCAAATGATTTAAAACTTTTTAAATATGTTATTTAACAATAATTATTGACATGTATTTTGAATATTATTTTATACATTAAAATAAAGTAATATAATGAACTATCAAATAATTTTAATATAATATGAATTTTATATACTTGATTTAGCGAGTAATACCATTAGATCATTTTAATTCCTAAACTATAAAAAGATATTGAATATAAATTAATGAATCATTATCCATATAAAAAGATCTACGAGGATGACAACATTGATAACTTTAATTAAAAATTTTAATCTAAATTATTTATTTGTCTTGAGATTGTTTTAATTGTTCTCATATTAATATTGATAACTTTATTTTCTCTTATATCAGTTCAATTTACTTAAAAATAATAATAAATTTATTCATGAAAAGTAAATGGAAAAAAATATTACAACTGAAAATTTGGAATATTATAAATACACTTCTAGAAAAGATTTAAAAAATGTTGAAAATGAGGGTTTTGTTTTTCTTTTACATAAGAGAAGTTCTAATAACATTCTTTAGTTAAATTTTATTTGAAATTAAATTAAAATTCACAAATAAATTTTATTAAATAAGAAATGAGATTTATAATTTTTTTAAAGTTTTTAATAAATTTTAACAAGTAATAAACAGTGTGGTCGAAAGAATAAGTTGTAAAGTTTCAATAAAAAAAACAGTTATTGAGTGTATTATTAACATGCCTTAGTTGATGGGTATAAGAATAAAATATTACAACTATTTAAAATTAATAATTAGATCAAATAAATTAAAATCATAAATTTGTTTTACCAATTTAACCCGAAAACACATACACATGTAAAGATTTTTATTTTATTTCCTTATATACACGCAGAAATTTTGACCTGATTTCGGGTATTTGCAATCAGAAGTTCTGCATCGCTGGATGTGTTGACTGAGTATGCAAAACGGACGGAGTATAATCGCTTCGTGGACCCAAAACGTGCCCTACCCATTTGAATTCAAAATAAAATGTAACGTTACGATTCCGTAGCTGAGGTTCGGAGCCCGAAGCTAACCCCACTCTCTCTCTGTTATCCGAACCAAAGCAAAAACCAGACCTCATTTCTAAGTTCTAACTCTGGAAAACCACTGCTCCTCTACTCTCTCACTTTCCTGGGTTTCTTTTTGAGCCCTTTGCAGAACACCCAAAAAGAAAAAGATCATTTTTTTGGGGTTCTCTTCCCTGGTTTTTCAACTTAGGTATGTGCTTTTGGTTTCTTGAACAAAAATGCCATCTTGGGTCATGCCTTTTATGTGATCATTTTTGTTTTTTCACTCTCATTTCTTAATTTCTTAACTACCCTACAGGAACCAAATTTTGGGGTTCTTTTTTTTTATTAATCATGGAAGATTGCTCGAGAAATAGGACTCGTGATTTTAACATGGCTTCAAGAAAAGCTGAGGAGACTGGTCAGTTTGTGTTTTCCTTGGTCACTCTTGCCAGGGTTTACTTTTTGTGTTCCAAGATGTGTGCTTGTTGTTATGCTGGGTGATGATCATGATTATTAATGATGAAGTTTTTATTTTTTTTAAGAAAAAAGAATTACTATTCCATTTCCCTGTGCTATTGATTTGTCTGATAGAATGTTACAATGATTTGTGCAGCTTGGAGACGTTATGAGGCAACTCAATGGCTAGAAAGCCAAGTGGGTCCTCTTGGTATATCCAACCAGCCTACCGAGAGAGAACTTATTTCTTGCTTGAGAAATGGTCGGATTCTTTGCAATGCCATTAACAAGATTCATCCAGGAGCAGTGGCTAAAGTATTGCATCACAATCCCCTATCTGATTTGTGTTTACTTATATACACACACACATGCGCGTGCGTGTTTGATATTTTTTTGTATCAAACTGGATCCACATTGGAGAGAAGCTAACATTTGTTGCTTTGGCGTAGTTTGTTACCTTTGGCTTGGCTTTTAATGTTAACTGACATATACGACGTAAAAGCAAACAACACTGAATTGAATGTTCAATTATATGTAGTCACTGTAATCAGAGAGAATTTTTTGACTAATAACAGGTTCAAATTGGGAAGTCTGAGTTTGGGGTTTTATTGTCTCTCTTTTTCTCACCACAAGTGCTTATGACGTTTTTTGATGATGGTTTTACAAGGTTGTGGAAAATCAAGTGGCTTCAGAATCACTTACATGGGATTCACAGCCTTTGCCTGCCTATCAGTATTTTGAAAATGTACGCAATTTTCTGGTTGCAATGGAAGAATTAAAGCTTCCGGCTTTTGAAGCTTCTGATCTTGAAAGGGTATGTTCTTTAATAGCTTTCACATTTTCCACATGCTCATCCAAATGCCTTACCTGCAGTGCTTGTTTTGTACCATTGGTGTAATCTAAAGAGAAAGAAAAGAAGTATTTGCAATAGTAAATTTGTATAATGCTCACGCCTTTGATTATAGATGAGTAGGTGAGAACAAGTATGTTGGTTATTTATTTTCAGGATACACTAGAGATGGGATCCGCAGCAAAAGTGGTCAACTGCATTTTGACGCTTAAATCGTTTCAAGAGTTGAAGCAGATGAACAATCAGAATGGATCCAGCAAACATTTAAGATCTCCTTTGTCTATGCATTCAATCAGTAGAATGCATTCAAGAGCTGCAGCTGCATTTCCTTCTGATTCTTGTAGGCACTTGGATTTGTCTGCCACATTGGAAAAAATGCCTCCCGTTGAGAATAATTTTCCAAAACGAGAAGGTTTAATTCCTTAATCTTGTTAATATATTTGTATGATCTGATTAACATCTTTGAGTTGATGGCTAGCTGCACAGGATAATCTAAACTACCAGAGTTTGCCAGTTGAGGAAAAGTAGTTTGGAATGAATGGTCTTAATATGGTCTTTCTAAATTTTTGCTCTAACAATAATTTATCCATATTGTAAGATTTGTTTGAAAAGGAAATGAATGTATGATTGGAGTTCTTTTAAGCTTAAACTCCATGAACAAAAGGCTTGATTGTTTTTTCTACTCATGTAAGATTTTTTAGCTAATTTACTTCACATCCTTGAGTTAAAACATCGTAAAACTCCAACATATTGTTATTCATCATTAGAAAAAAAAAATGCTATTCTACTTGATGACAAATAGAACACACACATATATTGCATGAGCAGTCAATTTTTATTAGTTTATCAATTTAGACTTTGATAAACTGTCCCAGTATTCTCAACAGCATTTGGATAATTTTATTTTTCTTTCTATTTACCTTTATTGGATGCAGCAGAAATTGTGGAATTACTTGTCAAGCAACTGGTTGACCGTATGTTTGATGCCAAAGAAAATATTGATGGAAACATTATTGCTTCTCTTCGTGATGAACACTTGGCAGCAGTAAGTTGTAATCATATAAATGAACAAGTTTAATTAAAATTATGGTCTGCTAACAGTGCCTAAATAACAATTTTTAATGAATGAAAAGTATTTAATGAAATTATATCTTTTAACACCTGAAAAATCTAAAGGGTTTCACCTTTTCATTTAATGTTTTCTATTTTTGAATCCTTGGCCGGAGCACTGGTTGTCATTTGCCTTAAAATAATATCTTAAATAATAAATACATTGATTGGCCGTCAAGTGTTTGTATCTCCCTTCTAAATTTTTTGTCTTTACTGCAGGATCCAATAAAAGTATTTAATCAAATAATAGCATGTTGTAATGGGGAACAGCCTCCTACAAGTTTCCATGAGGTTAGTTTGAGTATATAAGATGTATGCTAATTCTTAACGAGTCATATTATTTTGTAACATTCTTGCTGCAAATTATGTGGGATTAAGATAAAAATTTGTAAACAATCATACTTGGTTTCTTAAACCCAAGAACCAGTAATATTGTGGTCTGAATGAATTTATCCCCCACCTGTAGCTGCCATTGTTATAGCCAACCTGCCAGCCATATGAAAGGAGGATGAAAATATGCTTTTATATTTACACAAGCTTATCGGTTTATTTCATTATTTCTTTTTCTTGCTAGCTTGCTTATTCTATTATGATGAACCTCTTGAAGATTTTGAACAGGATGATTTCATGTATTATTGTCAATATTTTCTTTCTTTGTCGCTTAAGCTTTTGCTATGATATTTAATAAAAAGACCTTTTGACCTAACATGGTTGCTATTTTTTCCAAAGGATTTTATTAAAGAAAAGGGTAGCTTACCACCTCATATCGCTTCCACACCTACTCAATCAGATGCTTTATCTGCTCCTGACAGTTCTAAGGTAGCTTTGTTTTTTCTGTAATAAGTTTTCATACTAGAATAGTTAATAATGATGGTTAAAACATTGAGAATTTCAATAAAATGAATAATTTTGTTCCAATAAAGGAATTAAAATGATTATCTTAGTTTGAAATGTTAATGTGCTTTCCCCAATATTTCCCCATTTGAAAACTTTGTTTACTTTTACCACATTTAGATCATTAATATTATTTAGAACTTGATATGATTTATCTCAAATTTTAATTTTAATTTTCCCAATTTACATTTTATACAGCGTTGCCAAGCTTGCCCAGGAAAGTGCAAGTGCAATCAGGTGCATCTTTTAGACATGCAGGAAAAGGATCTTCTGGTAGGCATTTGTGCTGTTTGTTTGCACTTAACCTTTGCATTAAAGTTGTTTTAATTAGAAATTAGAAGCTATGAGTTGAGAAGGGGGTAAAACAGTTCAACCAATAGAAGAAAAGATTTTCACAAAATACTGTGTACTTCACTACATTTATATGGTCATTTTTCCCTCAATGGAACTTCAATTTATTTCTATTGCATATAGTTGGTTATGTTCAATCATAATTTACTTTCTGGAATTCTTCACAAGCAGCACAATAGATATGCAATAAACAAGAGTAATATTTGATGGAATAAAGTTGCTGTAATGATTCAGGAAATATGAAGAGAATTATTTCCTTTTAATGCCAGGCCATAGAAATCTGGTTATTTCTTTATTCTGTTCCAAGTAAAACCCAAAGGGTAGTATTGAGTTAATTCTGTTACCAAAGTATATATATTTTGGTAAAATGCATATCACAGCTTGCAACAGAGGTCTACTGCATTTATTAAGATAAAGTTTTTTTAAAATTGTGTTTTCTTTTCAGGATCTCAAGGCTTTGAAGTTGAAAATTAAGAAAGAGTTTGAAGAGATGCAGTCACAGTTTCAAGGATTTTTTAATGATATTGGTATAAATAAGAATAACCATTAATTTTGCCAGTTTCTTGTTTTTTAACAACATTGTTGGCAAAATAAGATATAGTTGTTTTTCTTTACTTTGAATGATTGTACCACATCACTTTTTAAGAGGATTTCATGTTGTTTAAGTTAACAAGACAATGATCAATTAATAAGATAATGATCAAATTAAAGAAATATATTGATATTTTAAAAGATGAATTTCTTCCGTGTACCTGTTTATTTAAAATGACATTTGTGTTGCTTTATGAACTCAGGAAGTCAAATACAGGAGATGTCAACTAAAGCTCTTGGATATCACAGAGTAGTAGAAGAGAATAGGAGACTATACAACATGGTCCAAGATTTGAAAGGTTGATGTACTTTTAGTTTTTCTTATGTTTAATTTATAGGGTCACTTTCTTTTGTGTATTCTTGACCTTAAGTTAATTTTGCACTCAGGTAATATTCGAGTTTACTGCAGAATTAGACCCTCATTCCGGGCCGAATCCAAGAATATTGTTGATTTCATTGGGGAAGACGGTTCTCTATTCATTTTAGATCCAACAAAAACACTAAAAGATGGAAGGAAACTTTTTCAGTTTAATCGAGTTTTTGGTCCAACAGCCGGCCAAGGTAGAGTTCAACAAGCTAACAGTCTAAATTTGTGCACCAATTCAATTACCTTTTTCTTTGCTGAAATTTACTGTTTTGTACTCAGATGAGGTTTATAAGGATACTCAACCATTAATTAGGTCCGTGATGGATGGATACAATGTTTGTATTTTTGCTTATGGTCAAACTGGATCTGGGAAGACTTACACCATGGTAAGATACTTAAAATGATTATGCTTTGGTTTCACCATGGATGCTTTATTGAAATTGATATTAAAAGAAGATAAAGCAAGATGAAAATTGCATTTCAGTTAGGAAAGATATTATTATTTTGCTATTATCTTGACCATTGGCAAGAACCAACAATGACTGTTTATAATATTAGAAACTGAAAGCCGGTTTGTTTCCATCTAATAACTCTTGCTGCAGAGTGGTCCTTCGGGTGGAACATATAAGGATATGGGAATCAATTATCTGGCTCTTAATGATCTATTTCAAATGTCTAATGAAAGGAATGAGATTATGAAGTATGACATTTATGTTCAAATGGTTGAGATTTACAATGAACAAGTTAGAGACCTACTTGGAGAGGACAAAACAGATAACAAATATCCTTTTCATTTTCATTATTTCGTAGGGTTAGAAGCATTTTTGCTGTTCTAAAGGGATAAGGAAGATAAACTTTATTTCTAGTTTGTTGATCTTACTATTTGCTTGTAATTTGCCTCCTTAACTAACCTCAAATTAGAGATCCGGAGCTGCAATGATGACGGGATGAGCCTTCCTGATGCCAGATTGCGTTCAGTGAAGTCTACAACTGATGTTATGACTCTAATGAAACTTGGTGAGGTTAATCGTGCTGTCAGTTCAACTGCAATGAACAATAGGAGTAGTCGTTCCCACAGGTGAATTTTTGCTTTTCAGGGGTCCTGGTAATTGCATTTTCCTATATGAAGTAGTTGAGTTTATTTTAGTCACTGATAAGGCTGCTCATGTCTCAGTGTACTTACGGTGCATGTTCATGGCAAAGATACATCTGGGAACTCCATTCGCAGTTGCCTACACTTAGTAGACCTAGCTGGAAGTGAACGAGTAGACAAGTCTGAAGTTACAGGGGAAAGACTAAAGGAAGCACAATTTATTAACAAGTCTCTTTCGTGTTTGGGAGATGTGATCACTGCCCTGGCTCAAAAGAATTCTCACATTCCTTACAGGAACAGCAAACTCACACTTCTTTTGCAGGACTCCTTAGGTATACGCTAAGTTCCTATCACTTTCATTCTCTCTTCGAGCTTCTCTCTATTGTAGAATTCCAATTCTGATATTTTAAGGCTGAGATTATGTCAACTAAAAGCTTTGGAGATTTTTTACCATATGACAATACGATGTTAATAAATGTGTTTTCTGTCGGAAATTTTTGCATTAGGTGGACATGCTAAAACATTGATGTTTGCTCATGTGAGTCCGGAAGCAGATTCATTTGGTGAAACAGTGAGTACTCTAAAGTTTGCTCAGCGGGTTTCCACTGTGGAACTGGGGGCAGCCCGAATGAACAAAGAAAGCAGTGAGGTTATGCAACTTAAAGAGCAGGTTAGAATCTCTAATTAAACCCACATTTGGTTACTTCCATTACTGCTAGCACGACTTAACTTTTCTTAAGCTTGAGAATTGGACAGTCCCTTGTATCATAGTTATATGTAATAATTTAAGTGTAGAGAGCCATGCTAAACTCAAATGAAGTTGAAGTGATCCAGTTTTCCGCTATCTTTTATGATTGTTAGGTTGAGAACCTTAAGATTGCATTGGCAAACAAGGAAGCTCAGAGAGCAATGTTCAACAGAATTAAAGAACCACACACTCCATTAGAGAAACCAACACTGGTGTCCGAGAAAACTCCATTGCGCCCTCGAAGACTTAGCATTGAGAACTGCAGTGGTGCAAAGACTGACAAATCTGTGAATCGTGAGGATAGAACTGGAGCCAAATCACCACCTTTGTTACCACGTTCAAGAAGATTAAGTTTGGAAGGTTCAAAAACTACCAAGAAAGATGGTCTACTACCAAAAGTACCAGATTATACAATAAGCAAAGGGTTACAGTACGAGCCGGTATCTCTGCAGAAATATCGCCCAATGCAAGATACAGAGTGTGTCTCGAAACTAAACGGCCAGCTCAGCAGTGGCAATTCCAGGTCAGAGTTGCAAGCCAAAACTCCTCGAAGTCCTACAAGCATTTCCTATCAAAGGAGATCGATAAAAGTAAATAGTGGGATGCAAGTTTATCCTCTTAAACTGCCTCAAACACCTGAACGACCAGTGATGGATGGAAATGATTCACATGGCACTAAGGTGGCGGGTAGCACAAATGGAAAAGGATCCCAGATAAGAAGATCGTTGAGAACAATTGGGAAACTCATCAATGGTCCTGACAAGAGGTGAGTTTTAACCTTTAATTATTATTCCCTGTTTGGATAAACCACTCCTCAAGAGTTAAGAGTACTTGTAGAAGAAGAAAAGAAGGTAAAATGGATTAAACTATTCCAAATGCTAAAATCATCTTATGCATCTCAGTTATTGGAGAAGTGAAATGATAAATCTTCTATGCATAAGTTGAATTTAGTTTATGGAGAAGTTAATTTATTTTACTATCTTATTTTCTTCTCACATATAATCTGGAGATGTTTATCTAAACAAAACCTTATTATTGTTTTAGGCTTCATTGTGATTGTGATGCAGTGTTTTACACAATCTTCCACTATGAAATAATACAGGAGCCAACAAATTAAGGTTGAAGTCAAATCACCCATCAAGGGAACTGGCCATACAAATCCTGTAAAATCACCAATTTCGGCCGTTGAAAAGTCAAAAAGGAGACAATCTTTAACAGGGATTCAAGCACCACTGCCAAACTCACGTAGATCTTCACTTGGAGGAAAGCCAGTAGTAGCATGTAAGTTAAAGCTGTAGAACTGCCATTTCCTATTTTTCTCAAGTGATATGAAAGATAGAAATATCCATGATACTGTTATTCAATATATTAAGTCCACGATTTTGTGTTATATCTGAAGATGACAAGGACACAAATGCTAGAACTCCTCCTTCCAATTCAGACACCAAGACTGCAACACGTTGGCTATAGATCAGTGCCAGTGGTGCTTTTACTCGAAGCACGCCAACATTGTTGACTTAGTTTAGGACAAATGCTTCACTTTGGTAGAAGATTTTTGGTTTTTGGATCAAGATACATTGTACAAAGATGGCCTTCAAAGTATTGTAGATACTAGAATTTTTACATTTCAATGAGGCTGTCTTTTCCAAAGGGGCATTCTTGTAATTAAAAAGTTTGAAGTTCTTGCATGTAGTTTCAAGTTCATCCTTTAACCTATAATTGGTGATAACTAACTATATATCATGGACTTATAAACAGTGTTTATCAATGCAAGAGAGAATTAAACTTACAACATTGTGGTTACCGAAGCACGCATTGTGGGCAAGTTTTGTACGTAATTTGGAGTCCAATTCCAGTTGCCCACATGCTCTAGTCTTGGACATAGGTCCTTTCTTCATCCCCATGCGACCAAATCACATGATGGTCGACAAGTTAAGTTGAGTGAAAGATTTAACATGGACCACAAACAGCCTTTTTTTATTTTTATTTTTTGCAATGGTTTTATTTGTTATACACCATCAGCCATCACTCTAATTCAATTAATCATAATGATAGAGTTATGGAGCTAATTAGAATAAATAAATAAAATCTTATGATTTGTGATTGGTTGATAGTAAAAAAAAAAACATTACGTGGGCATTTCCTTTTTTATTTGTTAGATATTATATAAAACACGGAAAATGGGCGGAACTAGCATTATTTGTTTAGTAAATTATTGTTCTTATTTATACTTTGTATCACTACATTTGCACATAATCATTTAACTCGAAAATATATTTAAAAAAAAGGACATTTATGATTAAAATACTCACTGTTGCTTCGGCTTGGATAAATGTTGAGAAAATGTGAGCGCAAAACTCCATTTGTTGTAATAAGCATTAATTTAAATCGTTAAAAGAATATCTAGATGAACATATTCAACAAAAGTCAGCACGTCGATTAGTGTGTATTTTAATATCATATGTTTATAGTTTGTTGCAAAGCACCTGAGTAAACGACATGGTTAACAAACTCCTTAATCCGGATAATGTTTTGTTTTAATGTTATTATGTTAATTATAGTACAAATTCTATATTTATTTTATAACAATAGAATGAGGTGTATGATATGATATGGAATATGTATGGTAATGTAGTGTCGTGACAATACATGATACATGTAGCGTGTCATCCCTTGATAGTTTATAACCGTTAGTGGTCCCCACTGAATCTGCTTAACATGTCACATGTCAACTATGGAATTGGCATACTGAGATCCAATAATGGCTGCAACAGAAGTATCATCACATGCACAACGCAAGTACACAATCCTCGAGGATAACGTTGGCACGATACACAAATGTCATATCTTGTTGCTTCTTACTGTTCATTTGTTTGTACAATTTAGTTCTCTTCTCATGCACACATGAAGCAAAGCACCTTCAAATTCGTGTCATTAGAGATAAAATTATCACATATTCTCCTCATAAATGAACGTGTCAGATGATTAGTGTGAATTTTTTTTTTTAAATTCACTATAGAAGTCCAACTGTTTAATATAAATACAACATTAATACATGGCCATTTAACTTGAGTGTCACTAAATCCTCCAAAAAGTTACGATTGAAATATCGTCGGAATATATAGTAAAATTTTTATTATATTTAAATTATAACAAAAGTTATAATAATATCGATATAATTTTTATTAAGAATTATACTATTTAATAATTTTATTAAATATAAATTTTATAAATTTAATAGTTAGATTAAAAATTCTTTACGCTTAGATTATATATATAAAATTTTATATTAATCCAACTTAATTTAATATTTCATTCTTGTAAAATAAAATTAATTTAATATATATATTTCAAAATATATTAAAATATGAACACTTTGATTACCTTCAAGTTGTTGTTCAATTTTAATAAAATTTGATATATAC